ATATTAATATAAAATTGTTCTATTTTTATTGGATTATCAAATTTAATTGAAAATGTCATAAAATAATTTTTTCAAAATTTTAAACAAAATTTGTAAATGAATTCAAAACTCAAAACTGAAAATCGAAACACAAACTCTTAATTTTTTATATGACAATTTGGAATCGTAGAATAATTCACATCCAATTGCTTCCTTCCATTCACCATGATGCTAAATCGTTGAGTTCTTGGTTTCTGAGTTTTCATTGCGTTATCCTGATTTTGTGTTTTTTGGATTTTTAGAATCAAAAGCATAACAGCTAAGCTATATAATTTTTCTTTGACTTCTAAAATGTAAAATACTTAATGGAAAAAGATACTACTAGTCTATTTTTCGTTTGAATTTGACCATTGTTGTGTTATTTCCATTGCATCTAATTTATTTGCTAGAAAGGGATAGGATCTATTTTTTGTCGTTGCTTTCTTATATTGAGGATGGTGTGAAATCGTTTTGAGTTGTTAGATTATTACTTGTTGAATTTGTGGATTGTCAGACATTCTATTTCATGGTCCATTTTTTGGCTATGAGTATAATTTTGGTTTTATATGCTTAACTGATGAAGCAAGTCTTTTCAAATCATTTTTTTGTATTTTCCATATATTTACTTTCAGACAGTACAAGCTGCCTATGTCACATATTATACCATTTCCTAAGCGGACAGACCCCTCAAGTATTCAAGATTTTCCTCCTGGAAGACACGTTTTAGCAGTTTATCCAGGAACTACAGCTCTTTATAAAGCGACTGTAGTCCAAGCTCATAAGGTAAAGATGCATGCATTTCTTGTGTTGTAACTTAAGAAATTGAAATAAAACTAATTGTTGTTTGTTTATGCATGCAATGCGATGTGCTATACTACGGATTTTTAGAGGAAGACTGATGAGTAAGTATCTTTTATCTCAATTTTTAATGGTGATTTATATGCTAGTTTCATAAATAATGAAATAGATGGAAGTATAATAACTTTTCTGAAATTTAAAGCGGTTGAATTTTAGTTTCTTCATAAAAATTTGTTGCTTATCTAGTTTAAGTTTTGCAAATGTAGAATTTTTTTCAAATGTATCGTTGTTTGACCTTGGCAGCTATGTTTTGGAATTTGACGATGATCATGAGGAGGATGGGTCCTTGCCTCAAAGGTTAGTTCCCTTTCACAGGGTTGTTGCTCTTCCCGACGGGCACCGACAATGAAGTGTGTCAGTTATGTTGTTAATAGCTTGTACATATATCTAGTGTTTCACAACCTGTATCAAACGTATTGAATTCAAATCACGATCACTAAATCTTTAGTTTGATTCTATTGCAAAATATAGTATGATTTTAATTTGTTGACAGTGGTACAAGTTTATTGTTTTTTGTACCCATCGACTTGCACTCATGTACACTGACTGGAATAAATTGTTGTGTGAAAGTTTCTTCGAGGAGCGAATTCTTGCAATGAAGTCATAAATGCTTAACACTTAAATGTCCTTTTTGCATGTTACTATCTCGAGTGATACGTGTCAAACGTGTCAATTACTCAGGTGATCTAAGACTAGACATGAGCACAAACTAAAACGTTAAACAGTAAACGAATATGTTGAGAAATGCAATCAACTTGTCAACTTAGACAAGCAAACTAGAATTCTAAAGAACATAATACGGTAGCTAAATTAAATAGCACTTGTTATTGTACTTTCTATTACTCTCGAATCTCTCACCGCTTTTTTTACTTCCTCGAATGAACAATGCCCTGCATACAGGGCTAAGGCCCCTCACTGTAGCTGTAGATCGGTCCCACCGATCTGCATTAAAAAAATAAAAATAAAAATTGTGCGGGTCCTGCCCTTGTGTCTGCCCTGACCGACCCCTGTAAATGTACCCTTGTACGTGAAGCATCTCCCTTAAAAAAT